ATATATATATATATATATATATAAAAAATATATAAACAAAAAGATATCCAGGATGCACTCTCAGGACTTGAGCAAAAAAAAATGTGATTTATTAAATCATGTGCAAAACAAAGCCAACCGATGTTTCGACCCCTGCGGGTCTTTTTCAACCTTGAAAAAGCCCTGCAGGGGTTGAAACGTCGGTTGGCTTTGTTTTGCGCATGATTTAATAAATCACATTTTTTTTTGCTCAAGTCCTGAGGGTGCATCCTGGATATCTTTTTGTTTATATATTGGACGCACTGTGGATTGCACCCGGGCAGGTATATATTTTTAATACCAATAAGGAGAGTGCCAAGCTATCCATTGTATATATTATATATATACACACGCGACGTGGAGGTATACCTACACATACACAGTGACACTCACAGATACACACACCTAAACTGGCACATACAAATTGCAATTTACATATTGTTAACCACACGCTGCTTCCATACCTTTTGGTTACAGGGAGGTGAAATCCTGAAGCTGGCTGCCTGTAGTGCGCCCTCCTCCTTTCTCAGTGTCACGAACTTACGTGTACCTGGTGCCAGAATGCTCCACGTGGCTGCTCGATCTGAATAGCATTATGCTCACCTTTGGTCTCACAAAAGGCTCCCTATAAATGCATTTTATCATGATGCCACACCGTTAAAGGGACTGCATCATCTAGGCGACTCCATGCTGTTTGATGTTGCGGAGATGACATGGACCAATGAGAACTCACATGAACCTGTTTAAGGCCTGTTCTGGCCCTTACTCTTTGCCCTATCGTGGTTTCTGTCCTGATACACGTTAGCCTGGTCCTATACACCCGGGCCCTGCTGGATGGACACAGGCGGGAGGAGAGCCAGAAAGGTCAGTGGCAACAACACCACAGCGGCAAACACCCCAAAGGAGACAGCGTAGAGGAGAATAACCCATGATGCGGCGAGGGGCATCACTCACTCAAGTACAAAGAGCCATCAAGCAGAACACGGTGACTGACACACGGCTAGGCGACATCCTGCTCAGGCCCCTTCTCGGCCTTAACCCCGGACTGAACGAGCCAGCCACAAGAGTTGGAGTGGGGTAAAAGGCATGAACTGCTCCTGGGATTAATCTGTTGCAGCCTCTCTGTCGCGAACCCCCTCTGTTCTCACCACTAGCGGTTACCTGCTGTGTAGCTGATCCTGATTAATAACGCTGTGGCCTTACCACAATCTGGCACTCTAGCTTTAAATATGTCTCACTAATCTTGCTTATTACTCTTCTTTTTTATATTTTATACTTGTCTAAATTATTATATACACTGTCACGCTTGCTCATGCATTATTCATGATCCTTAAACTTTCTAAAAATGTGCAGTCATATCAACTGTCATGCCTTATTTTCAGCTATGTTTTATTCTGCTTGCCAGAGATGTCGTGGTACTGTAAGCATGTCTGTTATAATTTGCACAGAAAAAATTAAATTAAAAAAAATTCTGGTGTAGACAAACTTTTCTAGTGAAACCAAGATTTAGCCACTCTGTTAATCAAGAGGTGCTGGCAACGGTATTATAATTGGATACAAATTTCCACTATAGTGTTAGGAATATAGTTTGGCTCTGTAAAATAACGCTGGACGTCCTCACACTTTGCATGAGGAATTCCAGAATATAGAAAATCCCCATTGCAAAGATTGATTCCAGAAGGAGCACAGTTTTGTATTCCTAACAGTATAGTGTTGCTTTAATCAGGATTCATTTCTTTAGTTGACATAACGAAGAGTCTACGGAACGTCCATCTTCTGCTCTTCACAATTGGAAAATATTTGGAGAGAAAAACAAAGTCACATATAGGCCAGTATTTTGACTACATTCATAGTTAACAAGTAAAAAAAAAATCATAACAAAATAAAATCTTCTCACATTATATTTAAAGGGGCATTATAAAGGTCAGGAATACACGTTTGTATTCCTGACCTTATAGTACTCCTTTTAATATATTGTAAGAATTTTTTTTTTTATGTTTACTATATAGTGTTAAAAACCTTTATTCTAGCACCAGTGGGTCTGCCAGCAATACCCCACCACCCCCAAACTGTGGGAAAGCATGGGATTGGCTGAGATAGTCAATTCTGATGATCTCAATCAAGCAGACAGGGCAGAGCCAAACGCTGCACTGTCCAATCAGCATCTCCTCAGAGAGATGCATTAAGTCAATGCATGTCTATGGGGAACGTTCAGCTCCTCAATGCAGAGCGTGGAGACGCTGAACGTCATTACTGCACAACCCAGGAAGCACCTCTAGTGACTGCCACTGGAGGTGTCCCTAAGCAGTATACTCATCAAAACAACTAAATTAAGCTGTGGTTGTTCTGGTGATGATCTTGTCCTTTTTTTTTTTAAAGGTACAGAATATAGTGGATTTGTTTATGACTAATTTAGTGCCATGCTGGTGAGAACAGGGTTCTGGAACAATATACATTAGATACATATGGTTTGAAGTTTAAAAGCAGGCTGGAAGAACTTTATATGGGATTCCAAACCTACATGATTCAAGGTAATGTATGGTACATGTGCAAAACAAAAAGATTGCACACAACCATTAAATGCACTTTTTATACAAAAATTACATTTTGATTGTGAATAAATATAGATTCGGTCAGTTTTAGAGACGGGCAAGGCCTCTTACATTAAATTTTTTTTATTTTAAATACAAATTTTTAAGACAAGACAGTACAAATTTCTACTTGAACAAGTTTAATAAAAACATTTTGTGACAATGTATATAAGCCATACATTTATATTTAGGTAAAAATGCTAAATTCTACAATATCATTGTACCACTAAAACAGATTTTGGATTCAAGTGTTTTATAGTTAAAATACCAAAAGGTCACATTATACTCTAAGTAACATTCAAGTCATGTTTTGTGATGTGGTAGACAGCTGGTAATAATGGAGGATAGTCCAATCAGCAAGAGATGTAAACAATGAAATACACATACACCGCCTCACTAAATAAACAGTGTCATTTAAAGACAAGAGGCGCTAAACATTCAATACACAAGACAAAATAATTCATAATCAACTATATTCTTGGTATGACATGTAAAATAATATGCATTGTCTGTTGCATCAGGTGTGCGTATAAAAGAAACAGGAATTCTTACATATTAAAAAAATATTAGTGAATAGATCAGAGAAGAAATTAATAGGATTTGGCCAAATTAGGTACATACAGACACTCCTCACTTACCGACCGGGTTCCATTCTTACGACCCGGTCGTAAAACAAATTGGTCGTTAAGTGAGGATGCGCAAGAGAGCAGGTCTAAGTTCGATACCAGGGAATCCCGTGAATCTATGTTCGGGATAACTTTCCGTACATAGATTAGCTCAATAGTGCAGGGAATGGCTGAAATCTAGGTTCGGGGAAAATTCCCACGAACATAGACCAGCTCTTTAAAGTAGGGAATCCCTTGAATCCCCACGTTAGATAACTGGTCATAAGTGCAAGCCATCGTAGAACAGGTAGGTTGTAAAGTGAGGACCACCTTTATATAGATTATTGTACTGTAGCTTGTAAATCCTGTCAAAATAAATTTTCTAGAAAACCCCAGAAACCTATATGTGACAAAAGCCTTCATATTTGCGGGTGTGTAAGTTTAGTGGACATGTCTGAAGAAGTTTTGGTGACGGACAGAGTTAACTAAACTAAGTTTAGAACCAGATTTTAGTCTAATCTGAAAAATTCTCTGGAACACCGGTTTTCCAGGTTTGGCCTGAAATTCCATGGTCAGTTCTCAATCATTTACAGTTAAGTGAATCGTTTTAAATATAGAAATCTGAAGGCTCAAGGATTGGAAAGAACTTCTAAACTGAAAATAGGGGAATATATGAGGGGGCATTCATGAAAACAAGAAATGTCAAAACAGCTAATTTTTTGAAGCCAAGTGAAAGGCTACTGCAAAGTATTTTTTTTTTAGTACTTTTACATAAGTGCAGCATCTTGTAGAGAAATCGGAGTTTTAAAGAAAATGAAGGGAAAAAAATATATATACATATATATGCTAGTACTTACTAAAATATTTTGCTTAAGTTACACACCAATATTTAAAATGAATTCCAAAATACACACTGACATTTGTGCTCATTTTTACAATATACAGAATCAAGTGCTTAGTTTTTATTTCTGACCCCCACAGGCCTAAGAGGAAAACACAACAAATCAATTTTAAAAATGAAATACTATAATTTATATGTGTTTTAAAAAAAAAAAAGAAGACTTTGCACCTCAAACCAAATAAAAACAACATTCTGTTGAACTATCTAGTATACATTTCTCCTTAATAGCAATTTTATTACCCACTGCCTGAAGAATTAAGTGCATTTTAATTTGGTTACTAATGAAAAAAAATAATAATAAATCTGGAACCAGGTCTGTTTTATATTCTATATTACTATTTTATAAAAAGGTACCCACACCACTTCATCTCAATCTTTTAATTTTGCAATGAAGGTTTGTAGAAACTGCACGGTTAAACATACCTCTAGAGCAGCGTTTCCCAATTGGGGTTCCACCAAAATTTCAAAAAATAAAATGGCAGCGGACATAGAATGAGCAGTGATCTCCCTCGCTTGCACATCAGTGATGCCGGAGCGAGCATCACTAAGAGGCGCGCGAGGGAGCTGAGCAGGGAGAGGACTGCTCCCTCACTGCCCACACGCCAGTCGCCCTACTGGACCCCAGGGACCGCACGCCAGCACTCCCAAAGGAAGGGGGGCTGGGTGGAGTAAATAAAAAAAAAAAAGAAAATAAAAAAAAAGAATTGTATGTGTGTCTGTTAGGGAGTTTGCATGTGTTTGTGTGTGTCAAAAAGTATATGTGTGTGTGTCTGTCAAAGAGTATGTGTGTGAGTGTGTATCTGAGTCAAGGTTTGTGTATGTGTCACTGTGTGTATCGGAGTGTGTGTGCCAGTATATATCAGTGTGTTTGTATATGCGTGTGTGTGTGTGTGTGTGTGTGTGTGTGTGTGTATCTGTGTGCCACTATGTCCCAGTGTGTGCATATATCTGTGTGTCAGGTACATACACACACACACACACACACAGATACACACTGGCACATACAAACACTGATACATACACACTGTGTGTATCTGTGTGCCACTATGCCAGTGTGTGTGTCAGAGTCATACACACTGGCACATACAAACACAGATACACATACTGACACCCAGATACACACTGTGTCAAGGTGTGTGTATGTGTGTGTGTCAGATACATACACTGACACACAGACACACAAACAAGGCGCAATTCCCCCCCCTCCCTCCCCCGGGGTTTCCACGATGTTGATACACTATGTCAAAGGGTTCCACAGAAAAAAAATGAATTGGGAACTGCTGCTCTAGAAGCTGTCTTCTTGACTTGTTCAGACTCTGTTCTCAATCAAATGCTGCTCACAGAGAGCATTTAATTGGCGCACGAATACAAGCATTTCATTTTGCCTTGCATGCGCACTATCCATCAAATGCTTCCTTATGGGGAAGCACTGGATTGGTTGAGATGAATCACCAATTCAAAAAACCTGGCAGGTAAAAAAATAAAAATAAAAATGGAATTATTCAAATTATTTACACTGGAATTCCTGACTGAGAGTCTTTTTTATTAATATTTTTGAGAAGCATTATATAAGTAATGCAAAAAAAACAAAAACAAAACAAAAAAAAAACAAAAAAAAACACAACACATAACAAAAAAGACAAAACACATGTTCCTTCTGTTGTTGGGATAAGGCTCCAAAAATCATGATAGCCTCTCTCTGGTTTATGGGGTCTGACTTGATCCCATCAGACACATATTTCAGCTCCCAGCAGCAGTTGCATTCATTTGAACTACTGCATACCCATAGTAAGTGGCTAGTAGTTTTGGTATGGCTGCGGACAGCCCTGTTCATTGCCCTGCATAGTAACAGGCAGCCCTGCTCATTGACTGCTGCAGCAATTCTGCTAAAATCTTTGTTTAGAGCATGTTTGTACAATATTTTCAGGATTAATTACTTTTAAAAGAAAATATTACTGCCACCCCTTCTCCATACTAAGAGGTTTTAAGATTATAAACTAAGGGGCCTACGGTGGCCACTACTTTTTGTATAACCGTCTAAATATACATAAATTAGTATAAATGCGATGAAGCAGAAATTGGTTACTGGACAATGTCGACTTCTAGTCAACTTGCAGATGGTATTATTTCTGTTAGATTAATTGTATTTTATTCTAATAATGATATATTTGTATTAGTCACTCCCTCACTCCTCATTCTGCAACACATAATTTGTAATGTCATTTTAAGTTTTGCTAATAAATAATATATCAAAAATGTCGCCACTGCATTTTTCTAAAACAAATATGACAAGACACGGTACAAAAATCAAAAAGTATTTAAATGTAACTGGTTTCCCTTCTGGCAATCCTTGTATTTATCCAAGAGCAGTGCTGTCCAATTGTTTAAAGTAGAGGATTTTATACAGTATTTATCAGTACAGATTGGCCGCTCTCCTCCCAAGGTTTGGTCCCAGGCTTTAATGCAGACGATCTACAAAGCTTCCTCCTTGAAGCCTCAGACCATCGCTGGAACTTAGAAGGTGAGGAGCACAGTGGATAGACGTGATCTTCTCAATTTGTGGTTAAACAGTTCGTAAATGGTTTAACCTCTTAAGGGAAGATGGTGCCTGTGACATCCTGGCACCATAACAACTTAATTGAGATCAAGTTGTTAGAGTGACTGGAATGTGTCTTTAAAACTTCTAGTTTTCCAAATGGACAGAAGTTTTCTAGATTAACATGACACACGTGTAAACGCATATACAGGTTGTTTCCACTACAGTTCTAATTATTTTTTAAATCTATTTAAAATTCTGGTTGAAGATTATGCAAACGAGAAACTGCTTTGTATTATGTAAAGACATAAATAGCCACTACATCTAGCTATGTGTTAGAAAAAAAAAATAAAAAATACATCTATGCATTGTACCATGAAAACTAAAATATAAATATTGCAAAAATATATAGCATACTATGTATTTACAGCATATATACATATACACACATATAATTAACTCTGCACAATGAATTTACCAATTCATAGAGTACCTCTTCAAATATATACAGGTTAGTTATGATCATATCTTGCTTACGATTATTTTCAAAAAAATTTTTACCCAATACAGAAGTAGATCAAAAACAGAATTTGGTTCAGACACTGAACACAACTGAAATTCTTCGTAAAATAGGATTTTGCTGTAATTAAATAAATACACAAACTGACACTTCTTAAGAAGATACCAGAGCAATTTTGGTTACAAATAATTCTATAACTAAAGTTATTTTGATTTACAATGTATTTACTGCAACAATTCTATAACTACTCCCCAATAGACATTTCCTAGAGTGTATATAGTAAGAATTGTACCCAAATTCAAGTAAATTCCAAGATTCAAGTAAACTTGAATATTTAAAAACAAAGATCTTTAATATGTCTACACAGGGATATCTAGACTGTACTAACACATTCACAATCACTGCTATTCAGCTCATTACCAACATTATAACAATATAAATGAAGAGGATATTTGCCTAAATAGTTTTGAAGATATGTTTTATTTGTGCTTCTCTGTGAGCTTATGAAGGTAAACATGTGTATTTGATTTTACAAAAAGTGCAGATTTCAATAGAAATTGTCACTTTTCTAAATTAACCTTGTTACACCCCCACCCCCCTTGCGGTCAAACAGACAACCAGTCAAGTTGCTCTCGTGGTTGTCTAGGTCAGAGAAGCTAAATCATGAGATAGGCACTTGCAGAACACCTTCCTTGCAAAGACTTCTCATTGAGCTGCACTGAGAAGTTTTTGATAGAACAGCCACAGAAAAAGGGGAGGGCTTGCAAAGGCTGCAGAAAAGAGATCTGCAGCCTTGTTTGTTTGTTTTGGATGCATGGTGTTATTTAATTCATCTTACTGGCCATACAAAACGTAAGCATATAAAAACAGAAAAAAGTTATTTAAAAAAAAAATCCAGGACATTTCAATACAATTTAAAAATTATTATTATTATTACAAGGCTTTCTATATGTAAAATAACTTTATATTTTGGTTCCTAAATAAGTGGCAGTGCCAACTCTCTAGTCAAGGACCACCACAATCTAGAATTTCGATATTACTCAAAACTATTCCCGTAGTTAGATCTTTAAAATCTATACCATTGGTGGAGCGTTTAGTGTAGAGAATCAGGACTCTAAAAAAATTATTCACTCACAAGTAATTTTTGGTTGAGTAAAGCCATCAGTGGAGGTAAGGCCAGTGGCTGGCAGTGAGTATGCTTGCATGTATGTGGTATGTCTGTGAGTTTGTATCTTGGAGGGAGTGTTTATCAAGCCAGTGGGAGCCCACCAGTCAATACGCAATAAATTCAAAAAATGTTCAGATGGCAGCCCTGCAAGTGAATTAGAAGACTCAGTTAAAAAAAAAAAAAAAAAAGCATAGTTAAAAACTCATTGTGAAACTACCAATTTTAAATGTAGGTTCATGGAAAAATGTCGGACCACAACAATTCTACAGAACACATTTCTATGTTCTCTTATCTTCCAATCAGTCATAGGATAGTCATGGTAGGTAGAAGTAAAACAATCTCCATATCCCAGAAAATAAAATTTGGCATGGTAAAAATAAAAACAATAACACTGAAATGGGTCAAATTAAAATGGAAAAGAGAGAGAGAGGAGAGGTTACTTTTCTCTTCGTTAATTTTTTTTTTTTTTAAATTGTGTTTTCGTTGCGTTTACGCAGCCTGAAGCTGTTCAATCTTTATCCTGTTGGGGATCTTAATTCACCCAATCGTAGATGACAAGAGGAATGCTTATTAAGGAAAACAATACTCCTAATGCCAGGAAGGCGCCCGCCTGCAAAAGACAAAAAAAAAAAAAAAATACACATATAAAACACACACATATTGTAAATTTGTTGATGAAAACAAAAGAATACAATATTAAATATGATATATATGCATTGCATTATGAAGGCAATTCTGTTACAAGAGACTTATTTGCAGGTAGTTGCCCAGGGCCTGGGTGAACATGATTTTCTGTAAAACAGAGGGGGGTGGTTCGATTTTTTTTGTACAAACCCAGGAGTTAAGAATTAGTGATGTTATTTTTTTTAGCTTTGTTTCTCTAAACTACCTAAAACAAACAGATGGTGAAAAAAAAAAATGAAAAAAAAATATGCTGAACTAATTTTAAAAATAGATTTAAAATCGGTTTATGTTCAGATGTGAAAACAAATGAAGATAAAGCTTGATATTGGGCCATTTCTGAGAAATACTAAATAGATTAAACTTACCCACAACCTTTCTTTGAATAGGCCCTCTGTGCCTCTTGTAAGTTTTAAATACAACGATGAAGGTAGAATGAATATCAGCATATTGGCGGAGGTTACGCCTATAAAATATTAAATCATTAATATTCTGTTTTTGTAGACCACTGACAAAAAAAAAAAAAAAAAAAAGATAAAAGCATCCACATTGTTTAAGCATTACGAAGAAACCAATATAATAATCTACAGTATTCAAATTATAGCAGCAATAAAAATTCTTTACCCACTACAGCAAAGATATCCTTTATCGATGGTATAAAGATGACCAGCAAATTAATTATGATTAGTAACACTATTGTTACTACCAGATGCTGCAAAAGGTTGTACTTTGTCTTCCGTGCCATCTCAAATAAAGAAGAACGAACCTAGGAATTAAAAAAAAATTAAAAAAAATTAAAGTATTTTTATATAAAATTTATAAGACAAAAGGTTCAAAGTGAAAGAATGAAAGAGTTTGTGTTTGCTGAAGTTACAAAACTTAGATCTTACTTGCTACATAGGAGAGAATCAAATTACAGACTGTTTTAGATTCTGCAAATGTCTTTTCACAGTTTAGTAAAAAACAAAAAAACAAAAAACCTCCCCTCCACAATTAAGTGTGATTTAAATGAACACTCCAAATATCTAGATCACTTTAGCTTGCTGGAGTGATATCCGTGTAAATTGTGATTTGAATTTTTGT